CTCTTATACACATCTAGATGTGTATAAGAGACCGGTCATGCATGTCTGGTCTTGCCTGATCGCACATGACAACATGTTTTTATATACACAGTCGCGTTAGAGCATTTTGTGTATGATTTTCAAGAACAAGGTCACATACTTCTCTGTTTTTTTCTGTTTACATAGGATTTGAAGGACCAAAATTAGGCACAGGCCTAATTAATAATCTCTTAAATTCTTTAACTTTGCTGATATTTGACAGATAAATGATGATCTTGGTACCAATTTAATTCTGTAATAATACTCTTTCAAATGATACCAGCTCCAAAGGAATTGCTTGAATTTGAAATTTGTTGTCACGTACAAAAATAGCCTAGCCTAGGCTAGACATGACCAATTGGGATTATGACCGGTTGAGCCGCCGACAAGTTGAGCCGCCGGTCATTTCTATGGAACGCCAAGCGCGTCTCTCAGTGAATGTAGTGCGTTAATTGCGGCGTATTTCAATTAACTTTATTCGTTCTTGGTACTGTTGTTTGGGATGTATTTCAGTTTATTTACTCAATTATTTCAATTTATTTAATACTCGGTTTTTGCACTGATTTATTAAATATAAACAAGTAAATTTTTTTACTTGTTCTTTCTATCGTTTTAATTTAAATTTTGTGAGTATTTTCTCGGTCAGCTTGCCAGATAGTAAAAAAAAAAAACTCCATACATTCTTATCATTTATTATATATAAGTTTAACAAATAGTACAAAAATAAAAATATATAAATTACAAAACCATTGTAAATACTGTATAATAACATAGGCCTAACACATTTACTGTAAATTTATTGTTTATAGTCATCTGTCTAATTGGCTTGCCAGATAGTAAAAAAAAAACTCCATACATTCTTATCATTTATTATATATAATGATATACTGTATAATAAATATAATTTAATTAAATAATTTAACAAAATAGTACAAATAACGAATAAGTTAATTGAAATACGCCGCAAACCATAAATAAATTTAAATGTGTTAGGCCTATGTTATTATACAGTATTTACTATGGTTTTATAATTTATATATTTTTATTTTAGTACTATTTGTTAAACTTATATATAATAAATAATTTAATTAAATAATTTAACAAAATAGTACAAATAACGAATAAGTTAACTGAAATACGCCGCAAACCAAATGTAAATAAACACATTTTTAATACGATTTTGCAATTACACAACTTCATTTATTTTTATAAAAATGTAGTACATAAAATTACATTTTTAATACGATTTTGCAATTATACAACTTCATATATTTTTATAAAAATGTAGTACATAAAAATATCAAAATTCTAATTTTCAATTACACAATTATACATCACGAACGGCAATACGAACAAATCAACGACTGACAAGACTGTGTGGGATGAATATGTAGCTGGTATCCGGGGGGTTCATTCACTGATGACATCGGCAAGCCGACTACATTCACTGAGAGACGCGCGCTTGACATTCCATAGAAATTACCGGCGGCTCAACTTGTCGGCGGCTCAACTTGTCGGCGGCTCAACCGGTCATATCCCACCAATTGTTGTCATCTAAACAGTAGATACTCACCTAGGCCTATATCTATGCTCACATCAATGTGTTCTTTCCATTGAATTAATGTGAAACTATATTTACGCCATAATACGCCAGTCAGTAGGCGTCTTTATCCTAGCTCTAGGCTAAGCCAAACTAGGCCTAGGCCTAGCTACTACTTTAAAGGTCCTGGGCAGAGCCGAGCTAGGCCCTAGCTAGGGCCGGCCTACCCGCACACAACCGGTTGGATACCTTGTAGAACAAAAAAACATACCTTTGAAGGGCAACCAAATGTAAATGCCATTTGTCCTGCAGGTATTGCGGCGGCAGCCTCTTCAGCATACCCCCTTACTATTTTATTATGAGGAGAGTTAATGCATGGTCTAAGAAGCCGGCTACAATTCCGAAGGAACGACATTTTTCACGCTTGCTGCAAAACCTACTGAAAAAAATGGCGGCGTGATAGTGAAGTGCGCCCTCAATACAGCAGATCAGATAATACTGTCGCGCTACCCTAGTAACATTTTTTTTCATAAAATCTTCGCAATTTGATTCTTCCATTTGGTTGGGGCTGATAGGTGCGGAAATTTTAAGAATAATGGACAGTGGCGTATCTAGCTAGAAGTCTTGAAATGGGGGTGCTGAATTTAATTCGCAAAATAAGATGATTTAGGTGATTTTTAACTATTGACCATGATTTTTTTTTTGGGTGGGGGGAGGGGGAGTAATTTTGGAGGGGCGTGCTCCCACCCCTCTTCCCACTAGATACGCCACTGTGTATGAATAAATGACTGATATAGCCTACATTCTGAATGAATCTTCCATTACAGTACTAGAAAGGCTTCAACTACTAACAGGGGCTCTGTATATCTGCAATACTCCACTGGTGGTTTGCCTTAGTGAAAAAAAAAAAAAATATGCATCAGGCTGAAATGTCAAAAAATATGGTGTGACATATTAATATAATACGCCTAAACCTGTATTTGCTGTGGTAGGAGTGGCCCCAAGCCATCAAAATGAATTTAAGTCGTTAATATGCCTATGAGAGGGACAGATTGAAATAACTATGGTAGCTATTTAAAAAACAAAACAAAATAAAAAACACTAGAGGCAAAATTTAGCACCGATTTCTTCAATTAGTTACAATGGGGATAATAGTGAAAATACTATTGGTGGTATAATTCATATTTATTCATTATTTATTTATCTTATTTGTCTTTGTTGATAAATTGCAACTACCGGTAGCTTCTTCTGTGGGCCTCATGTTATAAGCCCTCTGGGATTTCTTGGAGGTCTGTTTCATCTTTGTAATTTTTGTGCGCTTTTTGATGAATAAAAATGTTTGATTAATTGATTACCATCTTTATGCTGATGACATCCAATTATACACTGTTCATTGACTTTGATCAACTGCATTTCTTGAAATTCATTTATGGTTATCCATCAACATGCTCCTTTAAATGGTGACAAATCACAATTCATCATTTTTGGTTCAAATAACATTCGCTCTAATATCAGTATCTCTTCCGATATTCATTCATAACTCCATATGTGGATCCTTCTTCTTTAAGAAAATCTCACCATGACTAAGAGAGTCAGTCAAGTAACGAAATCTGTAAATTTCCTCCATAATATTTGCACTTACTAGAAAATTTCTGTCCAGCCACACCACTCATGTAATTATACATGCCTTCATAAGATCTCGCTTAGTCTACTGCAATTCTCTCTTGTTTAGCCGCCTCAAAATTTCCATTTACCGTCTTCAACAACTACAAAATACTGTTGCAAGAATCGTAACTTCCAAAAATGCTCACACATCATTCAATATACATAATCATCATTGGCTTAAAATCGATGATAGGATTAAGTGCACAATACTCCTCCTGATTTTCAAAGCTCTCACCTGCACAACCAACGCTTTCTATCTATTCACCGATACCAATTTCAAAACTACTGTATTCTCAATTCTCAATTACTGTACTATTATTATTTATTATGGGAATAGTGAATTTATCAGAGGTGTATATGAAAACTAAGTTACCATACATTTCGATTTACCACATTTAACATTGTTATTCAGATAACGTTGTGCACTATAGTTACACCCATAAATATTTATCCCCCAGTCGGACATCTTAGCGCCCCCCCCCCCCAATAAATTATATCCTAGAGCCGCCACTGATTATGATGGTAGTCAAGGATATTATCAGCTTCTTCTGGGTTTACGCATGAGAAGGGATTATCGGGAATGTGGGTAGATGTTCAGAAAAAGCAGATTGAATTAATAATTAATGGTGATAATCGTTAAAAAAATAGCTAGTAAGTCTGGCAAATTACTCATCATTCGGAGATCTGCACAATAAACAACTGCAAAATAAAACAAACTTATTCACACAAAATTTGCATATAACATTTCAAAATTCTATTTATTGATTTCACTGGCGAACATTAAAGAACTCATTAACCATGACATTGATACAAGTCACAATTCTACTAATGTACTAGTATTAGATGTAGTACACAATTTATATAGTTTAATATAGTAGTATAGATTTAGACTATCACAAGGCAATGTGAGAATTTCCTTTAAATTGACAGGATGTTAAGTTAGCTCAATCAGGATGGTAAGTCATATATTGACAGTTAACACAGAATCTGCATTGTCTTATAATTACTAATGCATCCTCAATAACCAGAGGGGGTAAGTCATCTCAGTTCAATAGCAAATCTTAATATTATAAAACTCCAACTCAATATGAAACATGTTACCATTTTGAACATAAATATCATGTTTTTATTATTCTGTTATCATTATATTTTTATGGTTTACTATTTGGTGAAATAATTTCCAGTTATATAATTATTAATTTATCCTTTATTATTTATCGAGAAAGGTGTTAAATGCTAGGGTAGAATGTCTTCTTCCAATAGGCGGCCTGTATGAGCATTCTGATTTCGTTTACTTTCGAAGATGTTGAACCCATAAATATGTGGGTGTTTTACATACTAAGGAGTAAAACAAAGTTAACATTCCTAGTAATACAACTCTTGCTGAAATCACATTCAAATCCTTATAATGCAAATTTGTGATATGCCTTTGTTATTTCAAATGCGAAAATATCTTTTGTGAAACCTGCAAAAAGCAAAAAAAAGAAATAATTATTGTAACTGGTAAATGATTTACTGAATGCTGCAAAAGTAGGAATACATTAACTGATAGTCATTGTTGTGATACGTCAGTAATTCATATAGACAACAAGCATATATCATGATTCTCTATTCATAGTACTGTACTGGCAAAGACTAAGAATAGACCTGAGTTGTCGCTGAGAAAGTAATGAGACAGGCAGATACAAGACATTTAACAATGGAATATGTTTATTTTTAATCTATGCCAGAAAAACTATGGAACAATTCAACGATGCGCAGCATGTCTACATGAATGACTGACTGACATCACTAACATAGTGTATCATGATTTTAATTTAGTACAAGTTTTGGATTTTATAATGTTACAATTCAGATTCAAAATGGATCCAGGAATTTGAAATAGACTGGGCCCAAAAGAGAAATAAATATATTTTAGTAGTCTTTTTATATAATATTTTTGTAATTTCATTTTATAATGTCGCCTATTTTAATATTGTATTTTATCATCATTTTATGTAAAGCACATGAACAGAAATCTGAAAATGCATTTTATAAATAAATATTTTTATTATTATTGTATAATTGCACTTCTAGATGACTGGAAATGGCACTGTATGACTAAAAATTTGATTGTAATTTTTTTTCCCCCATCTAAAATTAAAAAAAAAAATTGTCTGCACCTAATCCTTAATCTGCTTATGCATACACGAATACAAAGCTTTGTACAGCATACGGCCAAAATTCTTGCAGAAGATTATATGTGGCAAAGGCAAGCCAAACTATTCAGTTGTCACAAATTCTATTTTTAGTTATTAATACAGACTTAAAAAGTAAAATGAGAGCTATAAAGTGGTAAAAGAATCATTTAAATCTGACATTTCCTTATGAAGTTTCCTTATAAGTTTAAAAATTCAGTTCTTTAAAGGATAATATTTGAGAAATTGGCCTTCAAAGTTTATGATTTCAGGCATTTCTCAGCCAGAAACCATCACTAAATGGTTAAAAATTGTTATAACATTGAAAATATTCAAAATAACAGCAAGCATAATGTATACATTACATAATAGATATATAAAGCTTAGTTGAGTGCAATAAACTAGATTGAAAAAATTTGACATTCCAGCATGTTTTGGTCATTATCTCTAAAACACAATTTGCGACGAGTGATTGCTTTGGCTTGTCTTTGCTACATATTATAATAATGGTAATGGATGTAGACTTAATAGTGCATTTTATTAGGTCTCTAGGTGCTTTCAGCAGATGTCCAAAAGAAGTTAAATAAAAGAAACAAATAAGATGAAGAGACGAATAAAAATCCAAAAAAAAAAACCCATCAAACAATTATTGTACACCAAAGAGGATCCCCAACCCAAAGAACTTAAATTGTTTAGAAAGGCCACTTTTTGAGCTATGTAGAAAATTTACCATAATCACGAATTATAGCCCTGTGTTAACCATACCATACTTAGTGGTGGTTGGAAATGAACCGTAGAATTTGGCTTAGGACTACGGTATAGAAAAAAAAAAAAATTCCAATACCGATTCTTGGTCACGAATCAAAGTAGATTGTGTTAGTTTGTGAAAACAAAATAACGTATTAAAATACGCACCGTTATCATTTCCGACTTTTTTTGTGGTAATGAATACAAAATTGCTTGACAACCAATACGCACTTATTTCTGTTTTCACAGACTAACATAATCTACTTTGATTGCGTTAAGTTTGTGATGCGAGCGACGAACGATTTACAAACTTGAAAATTTGTACACTTACACAATGGTCTACACAGTGAAGAAAGTCAAATAATTCTTGAGTACATGTCTCTTCAGTATTGCTTCGACTTTGCACTCTTGCTGTGCACTCATCAAGCTCTGCCTTCAAGGCTTGGCTTTCCGCGAGATCTTGGCACGACTCTCGTATAGCATCCGCAGGGTCCTTGTAACCAAAACAGACAACAAAGATCTTTATAATAACAAGATTTTGTAATGACGCCGTGTAGGGCGCCTTCACACAATTACAATTACTTTGAACTTTGACATCTACGATCTACATGCAAATTTTGGAACACCCACCATAGTAACAACTAGGACGCCCTCTCTCAATTAAAATTACTCTTGCTTGTTATGCTCCTTCTTACATTGACGTCTTCTATTTGTTACGCATAGAATGGTGGAGGGCGCTATCTTGTTATTACAACAAATACATATTTACTAGTGAAATCTAGTGGAGATTGTAGCTTGGTGGACAAGATGTTTACATTTCAAATACCTGGGTTCAAAGCTTATGACTGCTCATGGTTTTTTTTTTCTCACGGCTGAAAAAAAATGTATCTCCACTCCCTAAGCCTTGTAATGGGACTCGGTTTATGAAGCATCTCATTATTTCGATTTTGTGTTTTATTCTCTGAATAACAGCTAAGTTTAATGTGTCACCCTCTATTATAGTGTAAAAAAAAAAAGGATCCATAATTCTGGCCAATTTTATTGGTCTGCAACATTTTGCCCAGGGTATCAATTACAATTTTGGTTGAGATAAAATAGTTACTCATGCACTTTCTAGGGTGAAAAAAAATATACCAACTCGAATTAGGAGCACAGAGCTGGTTGGATCACAGCTTTAATTTTTTATTACTCTGCAAATACTGGCTTAAATGATAGACTGCTGGTTAAAATCTAAAGATTAAAGATTCCCATAGAATCTATATTACAAAATTTACAAAAAAATTATTTATATTCAAACTTTCAAAGTTAAAAATTTTATAAAAAATCTGTAAAACAAGCATAATTTAAAAGTTTGGCATTTAAATTATAAAATTTTCTGATGATTCAATAATATTTACTTTAATGATTCAAACTTATAATGCTAAAAATGCAATTTGGTGCTATTCATCAACAGTGTTAATTTTGGTAACAAAGGAGATAGAAAGACGTTTGAGGTGGTCTTCGCTAGAGGAAAGACCAGGAAGCTTAAGCCGTTGCACATAGGACAGGTGGAAAACAAATATGTATTTCTTTTTGTTTCTCTGTGTTTGTGAATTAAAAATAAAATGTTTATTTCTTCATGTCGACATGATATGTATATTATGTCGACTTGACAACATAAATTATCTTGACAAGTTGTCAAGTTGAATGGCACTTAGGTGCTTCCGTAGTTGGTCTATATAATGTTCAAATAACATTTGGTACTGGAGGCATTCTATCAAGACCAAGTTTCATGGTCTAATGAATAAACTTTTTTTTCCAGGCATTTGAAATTCTACATTTGTTGTGATGCTGTTAACTTACAATGAGGTCTTCTTCTTCCTCCTCCTCTTCTTCCTCATCCTGAAAATGTCCAGAATTATTTGGAATCAATAGAAAACAGTAGCATTAAGTCCATGCTTCACTAAATACAATAACATATTATTATTATTAGGTAACGCACTAGACACATTCACAAGTGTTAAGCCACAATCGCACTGGACTTTTTTTGGTAAAACTAACCAACACGTTGGCTAGTTTTACCATAATTAGTCCAGTGCGAACAGCACAGGAAGTTTACCTGACAGGAAACTTACCCAAGCCGCGCTGTTAATTTAACCGAGTCCCGCTTGCCCAGGAAAACTGACCAGGTTAGTTTTACCTAGCAGGAAAGTCCAATGCGAACAGCGCGAGTCGGGTAAACTTCCCAAGTCATCACAGTGAATGACCTTCCTCAGGCTGTCAGGCAATTACGCATGAGCTGTGACCTGGAATAAAACGTCACACACAAACATCTTGATTAATTTTGCGCGTGTTTGCTAGTGTCTTGATTTTGAGTAATTTTGTAATTTTTTTCACTTGTTTACTCGGTTTGTTTCAATGGCCGATATATATGGAGCATTAATAAATGTGCTAGGTCTTGGTGAGACAATCCATCGCGATTATCAACAAATACAACATGATGTGGGCCTAGTCCAAAGAAACACTGTCACAACAAGAAGGAGAACCCGGCGGTTTAGCTTGTTACGATCTGTCGTACGTGAGCGTCAACGTCACGATTTAGCGCCCCCAATAGTTGAATCTGTACGAATGGTTAGTTTCACCATGGCCTGTGGTAAAACTAATGTTACCCACAGTCTCGGTAAAAATTTCCCTATTTTAAATCCAGTGCGATTGCGGCTTTAATTAAGCAGGCATTAAGGTTAGGATAGGAATGAACCCGTGACTAAAATATTGTACCGTGAAGATAGTTTAGAGTTAAGTTATCCTCTTTGCTTTTAATAATTAACTACTACTAGCTAGGCCTAGGCAAAGTGATCGTTCCAACTTTGAAAAAATGTTCATGCATTCTCTCGATCTCCTGAATTTGTCTAAATTCTCCTGCATTTTCAGTAAAGTACCACAACCACATCGGTGGACTGATTTTGGACCGGACCAAATTTTTCCTGACACCCCTATACATTTTTTCTCCCTGACCCCGGGGAGCTCACTTGCATACCAACTAAACAGGGGGTGCTGCAGCCACTTGAAGACATGAGAAACTTTTTCTTATGGACTTGAACTACCGTTTACCCAAATCGCACTGTGCTTTAAAAGATGACAGGAAAAGGCCCACTTAATAGTGGCAGAGAGTGCGCAATATCTACTGGCTCCTGATGGCAAAGAGTGTTCCGTCTGGTCGCAATCTCATGGCTGTACCAAAGGTAGGCTTAGCAAGGGGCTTACCGGCTTGGCACCCAGTCTAGCTTAAAATTCCCGCTAACATCGAGTGGAAAATCGTGGCACTTTGACACAGGAGAGGCCAGGGACATTAACTAACAATTTCACCACGGTTATTTCCCACACTTGTGCTACAAAGTCCTAGCAAGTATACCCCATAAATGCTGCAACTCCACCATATTTCCGACACTTGTGCTACCAAGTTCTCGAAAATAATATATACCCTGTAACACTGCAGCCTATACTATTGTAGAGGCCTAGAGTTTAAATACTGGACTGAACTATTCTAGGCCAGGCCCGGCGCTAATGCACTTTCGCACCTAACTTTTAATTCCTAATTTTTTTACCTCAGTGTTCTTCTCATAGTCACAACATATAATTATAAAACATTTTTACATGCATCCACCGCTCACAAAGTACATTTTCCAACAACAAAGATACCTGCACAAATAGAGGTTGATGCAGCGTTTCCAAGCTTGCTACAGTAGCACACGAGCTGTACTGTTTTGCAATTAGGTAGAAAATTGCCAGAATGTCCGAGTCAATTCTTATATTTTGAAACAATTAAAATTTGATTCGGAATGTTCCCATGAAACATCCGACAAACAAAATGTGGCATCATCATGAAGTACCATATTTTTGTTTAACTTTCTTGTCGTGATTGAGGTTCATTGAATCGCCGTTTAGCATTATAGTAGTTGTTCCACTGGATTATAACGCATAACTAAAATGATATATGAATGCAAATAATTAATTTTTCATAAACGTTTAAATTACATAAAACTTTGCACTGTAAACTCGGACATTCTGGCAATTTCCTACTGACAGCAAATGGCTGCAGCTCTCATTGTGCTAGCGAGCACAGGTTTGCTGTCCTGTACTTATATGTTGAAAAAGGTACTTTGTGGGTGGTTGAATCATGTAAAAATGTTCTATAATTATTATATAGGCCTATGTTCTGCCTCTGTGAGAAGAAAACTGACGTAAAAAAATTAAGATTTAAAAGTTAGGTGAGAAAGAGCATTAACGCCGCAAGGCCCTACACAAGAGAGAGCTTAGCAATACAGGCATAGAAAAGCTAGACAGACTACATAGATAGGCCTAGCCTAGCCTAGTAGTAGTAGGCTACCTAGCTAGAATCGAACATGAGGTAACAGCTCCCTGCCTGCCTGCCCTGCTGATTTGAGAGTGAGCTGACCAACTTTCGACTGACACTCCAACTCGGGCTACAGTAATACCGGTACATAATAACTCCAATCGCTCTTGAATTAATAATAATCATGGACAAGCCTATAGTAATTGTTACTATAATTATACAATCCAATTCTTACTTCTGGTGGGTCACCTTCAAGTCTTCTTTCTTCGTCGCCTGCCATTTTGGACTTGTTTACTCGGTTTGTTTCAATGGCCGATTTATATGGAGCATTAATAAATGTGCTAGGTCTTGGTGAGACAATCCATCGCGATTATCAACAAATACAACATGATGTGGGCCTAGTCCAAAGAAACACTGTCACAACAAGAAGGAGAACCCGGCGGTTTAGCTTGTTACGATCTGTCGTACGTGAGCGTCAACGTCACGATTTAGCGCCCCCAATAGTTGAATCTGTACGAATGGTTAGTTTCACCATGGCCTGTGGTAAAACTAATGTTACCCACAGTCTCGGTAAAAATTTCCCTATTTTAAATCCAGTGCGATTGCGGCTTTAATTAAGCAGGCATTAAGGTTAGGATAGGAATGAACCCGTGACTAAAATATTGTACCGTGAAGATAGTTTAGAGTTAAGTTATCCTCTTTGCTTTTAATAATTAACTACTACTAGCTAGGCCTAGGCAAAGTGATCGTTCCAACTTTGAAAAAATGTTCATGCATTCTCTCGATCTCCTGAATTTGTCTAAATTCTCCTGCATTTTCAGTAAAGTACCACAACCACATCGGTGGACCGATTTTGGACCGGACCAAATTTTTCCTGACACCCCTATACATTTTTTCTCCCTGACCCCGGGGAGCTCACTTGCATACCAACTAAACAGGGGGTGCTGCAGCCACTTGAAGACATGAGACACTCTTTCTTATGGACTTGAACTACTGTTTACCCAAATCGCACTGTGCTTTAAAAGACGACAGGAAAAGGCCCACTTAATAGAGGCAGAGAGTGCGCAATATCTACTGGCTCCTGATGGCAAAGAGTGTTCCGTCCGGTCGCAATCTCATGGCTGTACCAAAGGTAGGCTTAGCAAGGGGCTTACCGGCTTGGCACCCAGTCTAGCTTAAAATTCCCGCTAACATCGAGTGGAAAATCGTGGCACTTTGACACAGGAGAGGCCAGGGACATTAACTAACAATTTCACCCCGGTTATTTCCCACACTTGTGCTACAAAGGCCTAGCAAGTATACCCCATAAATGCTGCAACTCCACCATATTTCCAACACTTGTGCTACCAAGTCCTCGAAAATAATATATACCCAGTAACCCTGTATCACTGCAGCCTATACTATTGCAGAGGCCTAGAGTTTTAATACTGGACTGAACTATTCTAGGCCAGGCCCGGCGCTAATTCACTTTCGCACCTAACTTTTAATTCCTAATTTTTTTACCTCAGTGTTCTTCTCATAGTCACAACATATAATGATAAAACATTTCTACATGCATCCACCGCTCACAAAGTACATTTTCCAACAAAATAGATACCTACAAATAGAGGTTGATACAGCGTTTCTACACTTGCTACAGTAGCACGACGAGCTGTACTATTTTGCAATTAGGTAGAAAATTGCCAGAATGTCCGAGTCAATTCTTATATTATGAAACAATTAAAATTTGATTCGGAATGTTCCCATGAAACATCCGACAAACAAAATGTGGCATCATCATGAAGTACCATATTTTTGTTTAACTTTCTTGTCGTAATTGAGGTTCATTGAATCGCCGTTTAGCATTAGTAGTTGTTCCGCTGGATTATAACGCATAACTAAAATGATATACGAATGCAAATAATTAATTTTTCATAAACTTTTAAATTACATAAAACTTTGCACTGTAAACTCGGACATTCTGGCAATTTCCTACTGACAGCAAATGGCTGCAGTTCTCATTGTGCTAGCGAGCACATGTTTCCTGTCCTGTACTTATTTGTTGAAAAAGGTTGTGGGTGGTTGAATCATGTAAAAATGTTCTATAATTATTATATATGTTCTGCCTCTCTGAGAAGAACACTGACGTAAAAATATTAAGATTTAAAAGTTAGGTGCGAAAGAGCATTAGCGCCGCCAGGCCCTACACAAGAGAGAGCTTAGCAATACAGGCATAGAAAAGCTAGACAGACTACATAGATAGGCCTAGCCTAGTAGTAGTAGGCTACCTAGCTAGAATCGAACATGAGGTAACAGCTCCCTGCCTGCCTGCCCTGCTGATTTGAGAGTGAGCTGACCAACTTTCGACTGACACTCCAACTCGGGCTACAGTAATACCGGTACATAATAACTCCAATCGCTCTTGAATTAATAATAATCATGGACAAGCCTATAGTAATTGTTACTATAATTATACAATCCAATTCTTACTTCTGGTGGGTCACCTTCAAGTCTTCTTTCTTCGTCGCCTGCCATTTTGGATTTACAATCTAGCCGATCGTCGATTTTCAATAAAGCGCCCCCAATCGTCTTGGCCTTCGAACATTGATTGGAGTACTATCAAAATAATAATATTAATAATAATACTGTTTACTGAATTGTATCATTAAAATAAAAATTTATGTCATAAACAAAAAAAAAAAAAAAATAAAAAAAAAAATAGAAAATTCCATAATAATAATGAATAACACATTTAATGGGCCAAATGATGTTATAATAAGCATACGACGTCTTATATAAATGACTTTACGATTTTTATCTTTAGTGATTAAAATTCAAACTTAAACACAGTATTAAAAGAAATTATAAATCCTGAAAACGGATACAATTTTAAAATGTGCACAGCTGCAATAACATATTGAAATAGGCTATAATTGATATCAGTTACGGGGGCTATGAGTTGAACCATAGAGCAAAAAAATTGAACCAGTGGCGGCTCTAGGATATATTTTCTTGGGTTGGGTGGGGAAGGG